ATATACAGATACTTGAGTATCTCATAAGGACTGGGAAACACATTTGCCTGGAGACTAGCTGACCACATGATGAAGCCTTCAGACGTGAAGTTAGAAAAGTGTCCGGAGGAAGCTGTTGAACTGATAACTGCAGAGGACAGCAGCAGTCTCAGAAAAAACAGCAGCAATGGCAGGAAGGCCCAGGATTTCCACAAGAAATAGCCGAGATGATGTTTGGACGGCTATCACAGAGCTTGAGGTGCCCATTGATCAAACCACAGAATGCAGTTACCAGACCAAATCAGCTAGAGACTTTAAGTCAGGGACAAAAACACGTTTCTGAGACTGTGTGATCTAGGACTTCCAAATAAAATACTGTTCAAAGGAATAGAGCCCAGTTAGGTACAGAGTTGCAACGGTCCTGTGCGCACGTGAAAAAGTTCCGTGCCTCCGTGGCACACCTGGGTAGTCCACGGCACAGCATTTGGATACAGAGAAAAGAAGAGGGCAATCAACAAGCTATCATTTGGGGGACACACCCCACACTGCCTGGAGAATTTGAATAAGTGGGTGATGCTGGTTATAAAATGACAAAAGAAGACAGAAATAATGAGGGGATGGTCAAATACCTAGATATCTGCTGGAAGTCTCAACTAAAACTAAAATCTCTGATTCGCTTTTTCTTTGACTTCCTAATACATTAATCTCACAGGAAGCTGAGAAAACTGCGACTCTGGATCTAATTCTGAGCAACTCGGCGGGGAAAGGCAAAGACCAGGTAGGGGTGAAGAGCTTTGGCTGGTGATGCGGAAATACTGAGGACTGAGAAGTGGGCAGTCAAAGAGAAGTTCGATTTGAACGCTAAAGTTTTAAAAGAACTGATTTTAGAAGTTCAAAGAAAATATATGCATGACCTGAAACGCAAAAAGAAAGATTCAAGAGGGAGGGCTCATCATGGTTAGAATAGTAAGATTCTAACCATACAATTGCAAATTATCCCAGCAGATGAAAATGTAAAGGCATCTAAAGGGGCTGATGTGGCCCCCCAGGGAGCAGCCTCTAATGGGCTCAAATTTTTAAAGGGTTCCTACAAAAAGATCAAGAGAAAAGTCCATATGAAAGAACATTAGCATGGTCCCTATGAGTTTAAAGTTGCAAAAATGCTAAAATCCAAAAAAAAAAAAAAAAAAAAAAAAGGGTAGGGGTGGGGGCTGCATAAAAGTTATGTTTGAACCACGAACAAGAAAGACACAGACCTGCTGTTTGGTGCGGATGGTGGTTCTCAGATGATAAGAAGGGCAGGAAAATCTTCAGACGGGAAAGGAAGAACAAACCTTGCTAGGGAAATGGATGAAGAGATCGGGATTTAGAGATCAAATGACTACTCTTGACAGGCTGAATTTACCCCAAGGTACAGAGGAAATTAACAGCTGAAATACAACCAATACTTTTTAAAAAAATATGTTTTATTGATTTTTTTTTGAGAGAGAGAGGCGGGGAGACAGAGATGGAGACATCCATGTTAGACAGAAACATCGGTTGGCTGCCTCCTGCACACTCCCTAATGTGGATCAATGCCTGCAACCCGGGTATGTGCCCGGACCGGGAATAGAACCGGGACCTCTCAGTCCATTGGACAACACTCAGTCCACTGAGCCATGCTGGCCGGGCTGCAGTCAATAATTTTTGATAGCTCCTGGTGAGTCTGGGATTGGGGCAACTCAACAGGCCAAAGAAGGGCATAGGTAGACCTAATTTTCAAGAAGACAACAATGCACTCTGCAGACCATCTGGAAAATTCTGGGGTAGTAAATGAAAGGTTTACTTTTTTTTTTTTTTTTTGTTCAGGTAGAGAAGGAGGAGGAGAGAGGAACAGAGAAAGAGAGAAACATCGATGTGAAGGGACACATCGAGTGGCTGCCACCCGCACGACTGACCAGAGCCGGGGACAAACTGCAACCGAGGTACATGCCCTTAGCGGGAACCGAACCCGGGTCTCTCCGGACCGCAGGCCGACACTCTAACCGCTGAGCCAAACCGGCCAGGGCTGAAAGGTTTACTTAGGAAAGAAAAGGAGACGCTGAGGAGACTCCTCCAGGAGGTGTTTGCTAAGAACAAGTAACAGCCAAAATGATGGGGCCCCTGAGGAATGGTTTGGATGGGAGAATGTAAAAGACATCTGGATCTCAACAGACGTTTGAAAAGTTCTTCCATGACACCCTTGTGGACAGGATGGAGAAATGTGGGCAAAAGAACACTCCAGTCATGGAATCACTGACTTTGTATCAATCAGGAAAAGTCTCTTTAGTGGACTTGGAACACTAAATGAGGCAACAGATTTAGGAAGGGAAAACTTGTAACCTGTGACACGAGGAACAGTGAAAAAAACTTCAGGAGTGTCCTCAGGAAAAAAATGGAGACTCTGAACTACCTTAAGGCATCACAAGAGAGGAGAACATTTTCTCAAGAGCACCTCAAACTGAAGAAAACGGCACGGACGTTCTGGAGCCAGGGCACTCGTGGGCAACGAGGTATCCAACAGAGGTCAGGGCCCACTCGCTGAGGATGGGTCTGCAGCAGAATAATCCGAGGAAGGTCTGGTATCGGGTTACCGAACTTCGGGATAAATGTCAGGTCCTGACAGTGAGGTGCTGGCTGGGCTGCGTTCCCCTGGAGGCGCTCAGAAGAGTCGGCTTCCTTGCCTTCTCTGGGTTCCAGGAGCTGCTTGCATTTCTTGGCCCATGGCTCCCTCCTCCAATCACTGTGACCTCTGCATCGGAGGCCACGTCTCCGGCCCCGATCTTCCTGCCTCCCTTTCAGGAAAACCCTTGTGATTATATTCATCCCACCCTGGTCATCCAGGATAAGTCCTTTGAAACCTTTAATCTCACCTGTAAAATTTCTTTTGCTATGGAAGGAAACATATTCTCAAAGTTCAAGGAGCAGGACATGGGCCTCGGGAGCTGTTCTCTTGTCTTGCACAGGCCCTTCCAAGCCTCGGAGTTTCAGTGAACTGTTTTCTGGGAGGGCAGGGCCGAGGAGTCCCTGTTCTCCTCGCTGACGAGGGCCCTGAGACACTGTTCCAAAACCTTACCATCTAAACTATAAAAATGACTCTTTGAAAGATATTGACAAAGTTGAACATGTCAGCTTGAGTCCATGTTTAATGTAGTTAATTATAAACGCTGAACCGATACCAATCTTTATAAAAACGCTCATGTGAACCCAACAATTAAATATTAACTTTTTAGTAGGCCGTAAAGTTTATTTCCTTATAAACCCCTATTCACAGGCTTACCTAGCCATTTAAATAGAGCACATCCATCACGACTGACCAGGTGGCTCAAAGTTTATGACTGTCCCAGAGCCTCCCGGAACTGGGCTTCCTTTTTTTTTTTATATTTATTTATTTTATCCTCACCCGAGGGCATTTTTGCATTTATCTTCAGATAGAGCAGGAGGGAGAGATGGGGAAGAGAGAGAGAAACATTGATGTGAGAGAGACACATCGACTGGCTGCCACCCACACGACTCCAACCAGGGCCGGGGACAAACTGCAACCGAGGCATGTGCCCTTAGTGGGAACCGAACCCGGGTCTCTCTGGTTGGTAGGCTGACAATCTAACTGCTGAGCCAAACCAGCCAGGGCAAACTGGGCTTCTTTAAAGGAGAAATGCATGGCCTACTGAGGAAAGGCCATGGATACAATTAGCCAGACTTGGTTGTCACTCTTCTCTTTCTGTTCACATTCAATCACCACCAACTTCCCTTGCCTCCAGTCACCTGTCTCCAGCCCCACCTGTAGATCAGTCTTTCAAACACAGACTTCCATTTACATTTTCTTTGCAGTTCAGCCCCAAATGAGAGATTTTTCAAAGATCAAGGAAGGGATTTACAAAATAATGTTTCCCCTATTATTTCAAGGCAAGAGAAAAACTATGCATGCTGATTATAATCATGTATACTAGAGAAAAAAATAAATCCACAAACAACACTTCTCACCAACAGTTTCATCCCCGTGTATAGGTTAAATATTTATTTAACAGAACTGCTAAGAAAAACCAAAACTAACTGGACAGGAAGAATTAAGGGCAGCAAGGTGGGAATGCAGACTGGTACAGCCACTGTGGAAAACAATATGGTGTTACCTTAAAAAATTAAAAATTGAATTACCATTTGACCCAGAGATCCCACTTCTGGGAATGTACCCTAAGAAGCCTGAAACACCAATCAGAAAGAATATATGTACCCCCCTGTTCATAGCAGCACTATTTACAATAGCTAAGATCTGGAAACAGCCCAAATGTCCATCAGTAGACAAATGGATAAAAAAGCTGTGGTACATATACACAATGGAGTACTATGCAGCTGTAAGAAAGAAAGATCTCTTATCCTTTGAGACAATATGGAGGGACCTGGAAAGTATCATCCTAAGCGAAATAAGCCAAGCAGAGAAAGACAAGTGTCATATGAGCTCACTTATCTGTGGAATATAATGAACATAACAGTCTGAAGAACAGGGTAGTCCCAGAGACGTGGAAGTGGGGTACAGACTGACAATCCCCATAAGAAGGGGTGGTGGGGGAGAGATAAACCACAGAACTTATATGCATGTATGCATGAACAATGGTCATGAACAACAAAGCTGGGGACAGGGTGGGGAGGAAGGGAGAGGAGGATGTCAATGGGGGAAAAAAAGAGAAACATCTGTAACATTAATTAATTAAAAAAAAAAAAGAATTAAGGGCAGCAAAATGATGACAGAATGAGTAAGGGGAAAGGAACTTCCTCCACGAGATGTAAGTCGCGGGTGGAAAAGTGACTAAGTCTTCCTCACGGCAACCTCCCCGGCACCTAGCACAGGGCCTGGCAGCTTCTGGGGTAAATGCAAAGAAACCGGAATCTAGCATCGGGCACAGTGGCGTGCATGTGGCAAGCACCTGAAGGACGCTGAACGGGTCCTTTCATTAGTAGCAAGGTTGGGACTCAGCACAGGCAGAGAAACAGGAGGCTGGTCTTACTTTACTATCCTTGTCTGGTTTGGCTGCTGAGCTGTTTCCACAAGCTGACGAAGCGCTGTCAGGAGACGTGGGAAGTCCAGAGAGAATGGCCATTATCTGGCTACTGGGCTCGGTCTCCAGAGAGGCAGAGGTGATGCTTGGGGGGGTCATCGAAGCAGCCGCAGCACAGGCGAGGGGGGCACTGGCTCGACCCATATTGACAGCAGCCATTGCAGGCGGAGGTTGTGGGGAGGCCAAGGGGTGATGGGGCAGGCCCACAGATGCAGGGCCCAGACTGGCGGCGTTCTGTACCTGGATGGGCATCACCGCTGCCGTAGGGCGTTCTTGGTTGTGTGCCAAAACTAGTCAATGACAAGAGGGAACACAGTAAAATTCAACTTTCCAATAAATGCTACTCGTTAAAACATGAGTCATTTCATTGCATCAGACCATAATGAAAGGCTGCTATTGCGTTTATTACTATAAATAATGGATGTATGGTGGTTTAAAAGCACTTAATCCTAGCGGGGTCCCCAGATGCCATTTCCCTTCCAGGTTGGCCCTTGAGTCTGTTGAGTACCTGGCAGCTTGGCTGTAACCCTGAGGCCCTCCAGTTAGAGAGAAAGGAGGTCTTTCCACAGAATTACAGACGCAGCCCGTTTCTGATGGTAGTCGACGCTGTCCAACTAACTGCCCTCCTCTTTAACACGATTCTCTCTTTTCTTACAAACCATGTTCTTTCTCTTGGTTTTTCGGCTAGAAGTCACACATTTACTCCCATTGGTTCCCAAGACTCTTGGTAGGTTTTCAACACAACAGAAAGAAGAAAGCTGTTTAAGGTCCCATTGGGTGTAAAACAGACCTGTGACTGAATTCATAAAAAATCATCTGCACACTGGTTAGCTGCAGCAGACAGAAGTGAGGTCTGAGATCGTACGTTCTGGACTACAGACGTCCCGTTTTCAAATACTGCTGACATTCTTGGGACCGGCCTATCTCTTCCAGGCTTTGAGGTTGCAGATCGGGCTAAATGAACACGTAGGGGAGGCTTCGCCGAAATGAGCAGGCATAAAGAGCCACTGCCTAGACTCGGCCTACTTCTACTTCCTGTTATTTGCTATTTTAATATCACATCTGCTTTTACCGACACTTGTCAGGAAAGATCTGATAGCAGGCAGGCAACCCCTTTTCCTGATACTTTCCAGTCCAGCTTTGTCCTTACCTGTCCTCACGGCATTGCGGGCCTGGTTAACTGTCATCTGCCCGGTCATGTTCAACAACACCTTGGCCTGAGGACTTGTGTGGATGTGAGCTGCGGATACCACGGCTGTGGGGACAACGCCAGGACTCCCGGCCATTCCGTTTCCCTGGAGCTTCTGGGAAGACCCTCCTGCAGTGGAAGGACTGACCATGGTCACCCCCCGACCTGTCTGACCAGCTGTCGACACAGGGACTTTAGCTTGGGAAGCATTTGTCACCGCCCTGCCAGGACAGAAAAACAGACAGCCCAATGCATCAGCGACATGGGAGACCGAACAATTAAAAGCAAAAAAAAAAAAAAGACTCAAAGCTTTAAGACAAAACATTTTAAAAAAACGAATGGAATTATTTTTACAAAGTGTAAAAGCAGCAAATTCAAACTAACAATGGCCCTGAGGCAGAGAAAGGTCCTGCAATGTATCTTGAGTCAGAAAATCATACATCATATTCTGCTCAAGAACATGGTTACTGGGCTCAGCTTTTCACACCAAGACCAAACCTCTCACATGTCCAAGGCTTTGCTCATGTTTCCTGCCCTTTTCCCTACTTGGCCCCAGCCCCACCATTACCCAAGGGCTTGTGTACATGCACATGTGCACATACACATACGTACACGTTCTTGGAATGTCCTCTCTGGCTTCTCTGGACCTACCTTCATCTCATTTATGTCTCAAGATCCAGCAGAAATCCCACCATTTCAAGAAGCCTTGCCTCAGGCTCAGGCTTAAGACTTTATGACTATTTCATGTGGATTTCTTTGTTCTGTGACCTCAATTATAAAATGTGGTGTATTATGTTTTTAGTAAATTCCTTATTAGATATTTCTGACTCGATAAAAGTTCCTTGAAGACAAGGGCCAGTGTGAAATGGTTCTTTTCCATGTCTCCAAGATCTGTAGTTATAGCAGAACAGTCAGCTCTAAATAAATACTTACTGGTTCAATTTAATTACATTAGGTTTGGCATAGTTTTGTGTAACATGTTTATTTATTTTTTACTAATATTCTATTTATAGTAACTTTCTACTAAGTGATATGTCATTAACTTGAACGTCCTTATTATTTATCATGATGAATAACAAAGAATTACCTCTAAAAAAGCAACTCTCCAGAGACTTTAAATAATTTGTTTTTGAGGCTTATGAAAATGTTTTCCTTTATTAACTTAATGTTTTGTTCATCAGTTTATTTTACTTTCCTTAGTTGTTTTTGTTTTGTTGTTGTTTTTCCCCACCAGGGAGGGATCTATCTGCAGTCTTCTGGATCTTGAATGTAGATTTTAATGTATACAGAAAAGAAGGTTTGTATTGATTAAAAATCTGCAAGTCAAATGAAAGCTAAAGGATCCTGTCACCATCTGCGACAATAGTGATTTTCATTTGATTAGGCTGCTGGCCAACCTATAAATCAGGGCCAACAGCTGACCAATATGTCAATTCATTAAGTCACGTATTCAGAATCAGAGGGTTTAAGGAACAATTTCACACAGTTAAACCTGGACCACGTAAGAGCCCAGTGGCCAAAAACCAAGGCTCCCTGAATATCAATGCCTTTACAGGTCACTTCATTCTGTTTCCCAGACTGCTGTCCTCTGTGCCCAGAAGGGGAACGTAACTCTAAAAGAAACAAAGAACATTTTGTATATCTAAAAGCTCTTACTTCCCACTCCCCTATAACAGGGTTTCTCGACCTCAGCAACCTTTGGGGCCAGGTAACTCCCTTCTGTGGGAGGCTGTTCTGGGCTCTGGAGGGCCGTTCGCAGGATCCTTGGCTTCGATGCAACCCCTCCCCCGGGCCATAATGACCATCAGAAATATGTGCACACATTGCCAGAGTCCCCCAGGGAGCGAAATCAACTCAGTTAAAAAGGATAAAGGGCCTGTGCCATAGTTAAGGAACATTTCTGACGGTATTACAGGTATTAATTGCCAGAATTCAGAACAATCGAGCCACCAGAATGCAGAGCCGACCACCTGGGCGCAGCGCATTGCGAAATGGGCCTGGCACACAGTGAGCATTAGGGAAACAGAGGTACGAACAGTACAGCTTCTGTTTATACTAAACATCACGCTTTTTACTTTCAAGCAGAAAAATAGTAAAACTGGTCTAGTTGAGTCTTCTACATATTATTTAAAGCAAGCAACTTAAAACCCAGTACATTTATTCACAGAAACCAACAATTTCACATATATCCCTGTGAAAAGTAAGCTCAGAATTTCAGACTTAGAAGAGACCTCAGCAAACACAGATATGGATTTTCTTAACCGTTGGCTGTGTAAAACAGGCAATTATAATATGAGAAGGAATCTGGACAGGCTGAGAGCCATGGGAAAGAACAAAGCTTCTCTGTTTAGAACTTGGTAAACCATTTATTCAAAGCCATACCTTGTGACGGGTGCCACGTAATTACCAGGGAAAACCCCTATCTTGCTGGTATGCATTGATGTCCCTTTGAACCAGCCATCCTGGCAACGTTCAAACACTAAAAACATCTCCCCTTTCCTCAGCTCCAGCTCGTCCTCTTTCCGGGGAGTGTATGGATATATAGCAACATACCTAGAATAGAAAGAATATTTCATTTCGGGCTAACAGACAAAACCGAAGATGCTCACAACTCGTCCTTGGTACAAAGTCTTGAATCTTTTTTTTATCCACAATTGAGGACTTTTTTTTTTTTTATCCTCATCCGAGGACATTTTTCCATTTTTAGTACAGACAGAGTGGGAGGGAGAGAGAGGAAGAGAGAGAGAGGGAAACATCGATGTGAAAGGGACACATCGAGTGGCTGCCACCCGCACGACCAACCAGGGCCGGGGACAAACTGCAACCGAGGTACATGCCCTTAGCGGGAACCGAACCCGGGTCTCTCCAGACTGCAGGCGGACGCTCTAACCGCTGAGCCAAACCGGCCAGGGCGAGGACTTTTTTTTTTTTTTTTTGCATTTATCTTTAGATAGAGCAGGAGGGAAAGAGGGAGGAAGAGAGAGAGAAACATCGATGTGAGAGAGACACAGACTGGTTGCCACCCACACGACCCCAACCGGGGCCAGGGACAAACTGCAACCGAGGTACGTGCCCTTAGCGGAAACAGAACCTGGGACTCTCCGGCCCACGGGCCGATGCTCTAACCACTGAGTCAAACAGGCCAGGGCTCTTGAATATCTTGTACAAATGAGGACAGAAAGTATAATCCTTTAACCTGTAGGTAGTATTGGTGCTTGTCCACTGAAAGAGGTGTTGCCATCCACACTGGAAAGGCAGAGGCCTTCCTGATTAAGAACTGCCAACCTGGTCCTCCCAGTGTGAAGGTGACCACCCCACCAAATGGTATTGAAAGAATTAATGCAGCTCCCCAGAGTGCCTAACCTGCTGCTGGGGATTAGGCGCCCACTGGGAAAATGGAGCTCTCCAAATGGCACTTGTTAGACTTGGGAAGTAGCCTCAAATGAGGACATATGGTATAAAATCCCGCTGGGAAGCACAGCTTGCTGCCTTCCACACGCAAGCTGAAGCCAGAGGCTGGGGCTGCACCTGCTTTTGTACGCTCAGCCAGGAACAATACTGAGTTTGAAAAAGTCAAAGGGAAATAAAAGTGCAGATCACAGAGTACGAAACAACCCCACAATGCAAGGGGACAGTGCCATCAACACAGAGAAACCAGGCAGACAACGCTAATCCATTGTTTTTACCGGGACTAAACTGTTCAACATACAAACCCACACAAGAAGATCCACAAAAATCTAGCTGTATGCGGCTATGGATGATAACCTCTGAACCAGATACCTGGACTTTTCTGGATACTTATTGCTGGGGACTTATAGCTTTGCACATGCATACTGCACCCAGACTTGGTTTGTGTGGAATACCATTCCATGCCTGAGTATCCTAATGCAAGGAACAGAAATGAGACAAAAGGCTCGACAGGCAGCTCCATACACATGTAATATTAGAAAGGAGCAAACAGCTATGTTTCCCTCAACTATGAAAGGCCTTCCCTCAGCAGGACGGCTGCCTCGGGAGCTCTTGTGTTAGGCCCATTCTGTTCCAGCAGTCTCCTAATTATATGCATGACTGGGTAGAAGTTTGCAGAACACAAACCACTTTGGAAGCCATAAGCCTGTCACCAGCTCATATCACCAAGGTGTTTCTCTACCTCTGCTATTCAGACTGAGTTTGAAACGGACGTTTAAGCAGTAATAAATGACACCCTCACTCACACGCTGGGGCGAGTCTGAGGTCGTAAATGTGCAATCTGGTCCGTGGGTCCTGCGGCGGGCCTCGGTCCCATTCCAGCAGCAGCAGCAGCAGCAGCAGCAGCAGCAGCAGCAGCGCCTGGTGGTGTGGAGGCCAGGAGAGGGGGCGGGGGAAGAGGAGGATTCATAGTCTGGTATGAGGAAGAAAGAGAGGGGGACAAAAGGGAACAAAATATTTATTTACATCTCTTATGGAAGGTGGGAAGGAAAAGGAATCAGAAATCCATTGGAAAAGACTTTAACAGAATCCAAACAGAGTAGAACCAGCAGGCTACCTTAGATGAAAGTCTGCTTTTTAAAAAACCAACAAAACAAAACAACAACAACAAAAAACCCAACTCCTATCTTGTTCTCCTTTAAGATCTTAAAGTCATAGCAACCTTTTTCAGTAAACAGGTAAGTAATCATACTTGGGAGGAAGGAAAGAAAAAATAAAACAACAAAAAGAAACAACTGTATGTCATTTTAAGATTAGTAAGACTTTTAAGTATAGACTTGGACCAGAATCCAAATGCCTTTCAAGGGGGCAGCTAAAATGTCACACTGCTTGCTAGGAATTAATTTGTGATTGTTTCTGTAACCCGAAGCTTAAACACAACACAAAACAATAGGGCTGCACTATATCTCAAACCCTGCCTTTGGAAGAAAATTTCCTTTGATGCCTAGTCTCCAAAAAGCCGAAACAATAGCAAGCCACAATCACAGGGCCGTTGTTGCTACTTTTGCTAATTCTTTTCTTAACTATGCTAGCTTTTGAAATGTAGTACTATCAAGCCTGGTAATCTTTAACAAGTACACCAGTGAAAAGCTGCTGGCTCTTTTATGGGCACAGACTAATGGGGTTCTGCCTACAGAATTCCATGCCTTTTGAAAATCAATGGAGCAATTGTTACCTTCTGATCTATAAACCCCAGATAATTCTTTAGGGTCTGTATACTGAAACTCCTGGGAAAACAAGTACACAAAGACCTGCCTGAACCCCCACCTCGCCCTCCTCAAATCTTTGAACCATTAGATGTAAAAACTGAATCAAAGGAGAAATGAGGAAAGAATGTACCTATGAAAGCATAAATGGCTTGGACACATCAGCATATTTTTGCAAAGTATGGTTTATATTAATTGTTTTTTAGAGAGAGAGGAAGGGAGAGAGATTGAAACATCAATGTGAGAGAGAACATCGATTGGCCACCTCCTGCATACCCCCCACTGGAGATCGAGCCCGCAACCTGGGCATGTGCCCCAACTAGGAATTGAACTGGGGCCTCTCAGTCCACGGGCCGACGCTCAATCCACTGAGCCACACCAGCCGGGCACATCAGCATATTAATAAGAAAAATGAAATGACTTCTACACGTAGCTCCTAGCGGTCATTTTATGTCTACTTTTTGGAATAAAAATTTGAATTTCACCAACACTGACTTCATCTGTGTATTAATGTTCCTAGTTCCACAAGCCTAATGAACATTTCAAATTTCTAGACACAGGTGGCAACTGTCTGACACAGCCGTGTAATGTCTTTGCGATGGGACTTGCTGGAACGGTTTCCCCACAGGGCAGCTGCAGCTGAACAGCCAGCGCAGAAACGGACGAGGCGAGGAGCTGCCCGCAGAGCGGTGGCCAAGGCAGGCGCAGCGCGCGGGAACTGCACGGGCGGGCTCCGCGGTCCCCACCCAAGCACAGCAGCACTGAGACGTGTTACGGCTTTGACACGTGCACCGACTTGGGCTCAGGGCCTTGGAAACCTTCACCAACGGAAGGTCACGGGACAAAGTCGAGGGAAGTAAAGCGAATCCGTGGTGAGACACGCAGCAGCAGACCCGAGCAGTTCACGGGCAATAACACACCAGTGTCTCGACAGGTGAGATACCAGGTCTACACTGCACACCGAGTGATACACAGAGACGGTAAAATGACCACTGAACTGACCTCCATTTAAGTCTTCCTGAGCCCGCTCTCCAAACAGCGTGGCTGCGGAAAGGCAGAAGACTATCGGCACGTGCTCACCCGGAGCCCAGTAACCTGGAAATTACTCAACCTAACACCGAGGCAGCCACCAAACGCCCCGCTTCACACTCTCCGTGGAATTCCATTTCTTTGATCCTCACCTGAGAACATTTTTGCATTTATTTTCAGATACAGTGGGAGGGAGAGAGGGAGGAAGAGAGAGAGAAATATCGATGTGAGAGAGACACATTGACTGGTTGCCACCCACATGACCCCAACCGGGGCTGGGGACAAACGGCAATGGAGGTACGTGTCCTTAGCGGGAACTGAACCTGGGTCTCTCTGGTCCACAGGCCGATGCTCTAACCGCTGAGCCAAACCAGCCAGGGCTGGAATTCCATTTTCAAAAGGAAAGGAAATTAAAACTGCCTGTTGTATTTTAATGTATTAATACAGAGGCTGTATTAAATGGGTCCTAAGAAGAAGGAGGCAAGGACATCTATAGACCTCCTGATACAAATATGTCATATTTTGCCCTGGCCAGTTTGGCTCAGCGGTTAGAGCGTCGGTCTGCGGTCCGGAGAGACCCGGGTTCGGTTCCCGCTAAGGGCACGTACTTCGGTTGCAGTTTGTCCCCGGCCCTGGTTGGTCGTGCGGGTGGCAGCTACTCGATGTGTCCCTTCACGTCGATGTTTCTCTCTCTCTCTCCTTCCTTTCTCTCCCTCCCACTCTATCTGTACAAAAAAAAAAAAAAAAGTCATATTTTGTTAACAAAGTGTAAAGAAAAAAAAAGGTCACCTCTTGTGACTTAGTTAGCAAATACAGTAAACAAATGTTTCATGTACCAGTCTGCTATTACAAACAGTAAGTAGTAGGCATCTGAAATAGGGATAAAAGAGGATATTCTGAAAGATCCCACAGGTTGTGCTGGAAACAATCTTAAGAAAATTGGGCAGCCTTTTCCCCCAATGCTGGGTTACCTGTCACTGGGGAAATGTGCACATGTGTGTGCATGTGTATTCGTGGGTATATAAGCACACAGACAAAGACCAAGAGAGAAAGTCTGATTAAAATCAGATTCCTGGATGTTGCTCAGCCCTGCGGAGTCGGTAAAATGATAGGGCTCTCGTGAGTCCAGGGCTGTGACAGGCTAGGAAGCTCTGTGGGTTGCTTTATAAACAACCTAAACTGAAATAATCTGGTGATGTGGAAGTTCAAAAGGTAATCCACCGTGCACTGTGTTTCAGGCAGTTCGCTATCCTGCAAGCCCTGAAACTTCTAGAGCAAGCAGCGGCTTTGCCCTCACCCAGAGCTGACCTGGGGACCTCCCTGTTACTTCACAGCCCAGGCTGGCACGGCTCCAGAGGCCAACATGCACTGTCCACCAGCAGCAAAGAAGCAAAACATCTGTGGCCCCGCTAGAAGCACGGGTGACATTTTGCTAACAATACGTTGTACAGAACATACCATACTTAAATGCCATGTTCACTAGATGCTGCATGCCTAATTGAATAAGCGCTTAAAAAGTGCTCATCGCTTGTAGCTTTATGGGAATGCAGCAAGTCTGGACTGTCAAGGTGAAGTTGTCCATTACTTGGCCCAGGCCACAGAAATACTGATGTAGAAAACTGGATGTTATTCTGATACTCATTAAAAAAGGAGCTTCCTGCTTGTGGTTCTGCAGAGTCCGACCTTCCGTTTACCAGTATGTGGGAATAATTTGAGGCAAGAGTGACTATTTCTGAATAACACTTAGCTCCAAAACAGGACTCAGTGGTCAGCTAATGTAAACTGGTCTGCTTTAGTGTGTCCAGGCTCCCTTCCACGACCCTCTGATCTTGAAAGAAGAGGCAGCTTTACATGGTAGAAACATGGACTTTGTTTCTAACCCTGGCTCCGCCTTCTAAGGCAGTGCTCGATTTCCCCCCTTTGCTAGAGTGAACGCCAGGAAAGAAGGGCCCCCTCTCAGAGAGGACTGGAGTCCAGGCCACTGACAGGCCACACCTGCTACTGGACCCTGTGAGTGAAAAGTTCAGTAAGGAGGTGTGAGGCACCTTGTCTCTGGTGCTCTCTCCTCATTCCAGCCCAGATAGTGGTTAGAACTATATTTGGCTAAGGACAAGGTTAGTTTGGTTTTTCTTTGGGTTTAATGTACACAGCAACCAGTAAAACCACCTGGCCAGTGAGCTAACTACAGCTAGGGTTCGAAACGTCAGCGAGGAAGGCATTCTCACCAGGCACCAGGACTGACACTGAAATAAGTAAGACCCGGGATCAAAATCCTGATATTTGCAATTAAGTCATTAAATTATATCTCTTCCCTGTTTTCTTGCTTCATACTGTAAATTCTTTCTTTCTTTATTTTTTATTTTATATTTAAGTCCTTACCTGAGGATATTTTTATATTTATCTTCAGACTGAGTGGGAGAGAGAGTGAGAGAGAGAAACATTGATGTGAGAGAGAGACATTGATTGGTTGCCACCCGCACGACACCAACTGAGGATGAACCGCAACCAAGGTACATGCCCTTGGTCAGAATTGAACCCAGGACTCTGGTCCGCAGGTCGGGGCTTTAACCGCTGAGACAAACTGGCCAGGGCCATACTGTAAATTCTAACCCCCATTAAAAGAAATATTTTAAAAATTTTCTTTATTTTTTATGTTTTTATTTTTATTGTATTTATTGGGTTGACATTGGTTAATATAATTATATAGGTTTCAGGTGTCCAATTCTGTAATATATCATCTGTATGTTGTATTATGTGTTCACCACCCCGAGTCAAATCTCCTTCCAGCACCATTATCCCTCCTTTACCCTCTTCTGTCCCCCACCCCCTTTTCCCTCTGGTGATCACCATACTGTCGTCTGTGTCTATGAGGTGTTTTTTTTTTTTGCTTTATCCCTTCACCTTTTCACCCAGTCCCCCAATACCCCGTCCCTCTGACAGCTGTCAGTCTGTTCTCTATAGCTATGAGTCTGTTTCTATTTTGTTTATTTAGTTCTTTAGATGCCACACATAAGTGAAATCATATGGTAACTGTCTCTCTGACTGGCTTATTTCTTTTTTTTTTTTTTTTTTTTTATCCTCACCAGAGGACAATTTTGCATTTTTTTGTTCAGACAGAGCGGGAGGGAGAGAGAGGAAGAGAGAGAGAGAGAGAAACATCGATGTGAAGGGACACATC